AAAAAAACACAATGCTTGTAACAAAATAGATGTTCATTACACCTTGGTTCATGAATGAATGTAAGTAAATGCTTACCTAGCACTTATGCCTGGCATACACTAAGCACACAATGCATGGTAGCTATTTTATATTACTAATTGATCACCTACTCTGTCCTAAATGCATCCTATGGGTTATCGTGTTTACTCTGGCTAATAGCTCTGCAACCACCACCACCATTATTGAAGTAAATGACGCCCGGAAAAGCTAATGATGATTCTAGTACTGCCTCAGCAGGTGATTTTGAAGGATCTTAAAGTGGTCACCAGGATTAGGTCTCAGGTCCATCTGGCCCCACAGTGAGCGCTCCTTTCTGGTTTACTCTCTTCCTGAACAATCAGTGCTGCATTCCATCTCCCATTACTTAAAGGGGAAAAGCCTTGGCCTGTTCTTTATGTGTTCTCTGGAGAGCCCCAACTTACCGGAGGAGTTCCCTGAAGCTCATCCAGCCTGGCCGACTGCCATCTGACACCAGTAGCTTGGACTGGAGGGAGGGACAGTCGGCGCTAATGGCATCCACCCGCGGAGCCAGGGAGTCACTGGTGATAATGGACTTGGCCCTGGACGCCTGCAGCCGATATTTGAGGTCCTTCTCCGTCAGCTGAGAGACACCTGGAATCACGACAGCCCCTGGCATCACAGAGAGAAGGGATGTTGACTGGACGGCAGGGGAAGACCCCTGTGAAGAGGTCCAGACCAGATTTCCCCATCAGAGATAGGAACAGGAAGGGACTAGAAAGAGATGGAATGCCTGAACTGGCAAAGGTAACAATAATGATAATAATGAAATCCAGAATATGTTTATGGAGCACTTACACGTGCTAAGAACTATGCATGCATTATTTTATTTAATTCTTGCAACCCTGGAGAGTAGATGCTATTATTACACCCATTTTGCAGATTAAAACAACAACAACAGCAATAATTAAGACAGACCCTTATGCCTTAATTAAATGGGATAACTTGCCCAAGTTCACACAGATAACATGTTGTAGAGCTGGGATAGTGAATCCAGGAGGTAGTAAGTCTAGGGGTCCATGATCTCAAATGTTATATTATATTGCCTTAGAGATGACCTAGCTCAATGGTTTTCCCTGCCTGCAAACAAAAGCCTACAACAAATCCTAGTGTTGAGAGTGGATCTCTTACGGGGGGAGGCAGGAGGGCAGAAAACATAGGTGGGCGCTCCAGGACGCATATAACTTCAACCAAAGCCATGCTGAAGGTAGCTGAGTCCATCTTTTCCCAAGGGGAAAGGATAAGGAAGTGGAAAGCAGGAACAAATTTTAATCAGACACCTGAAAAACCACCTGAGTATCTCAGAACGGAGGATGTAAACACCCCCATGGAACCCAGCACTCTCATTTCACAGATAAGAAAGAGATCCTAAAGGAATCAGTCATCCTGCCACGGCCAGTGAGAGAGGCCAGTAAACAAAGGAAGAGGCCAATCCCAAATGGTGTAGGAGCCAAGCCAGAGTTCTCATTACCCTTCCCTTTATTTCCTAAACTTTTACAGGATTTAAACCCCAGCATGAACACTTTTGGAGCTAAACGGTGTTTCTTCAGTTCATCTCTCTGTGCTCTGGCTATTTCCAGAACAAGTCTGTCCCACCAGAGTTGTGTGTGGTGCTTTGGGAGCCCAGTCAGAGGGTGGACAGCTGGGGCTGTCAGCAAGAGAAATGAGTCCAATACCTTAGACTGGAAGAGAGGTGATCAGTGCACATCAGGAGAAGGTGAGAATGTGAGGACATCCAGCTTGGGTATCCTCTAAGATGTTGGAGAGGATGTTGGGCTTGACATAGTCATATGTGTTGTTGTCTTGAGTTCTTTTATTTGGACATCAAAGAAATGGGTGAAGCTGCCTAACTGGGGGAACTGGAGACATTTAGGTAATAGGGAAAAGAATGAAAATAATACCCCAAAAGGAAGTTTTGATCATGCAAAGTGCCCAACACAGTGCCTAGCATATAGTAGGCCTCAAAAAAAGTATGAGGGCTCCCTTACCTTGGCCCTCATTTAAATAAACCTTATATGTCATGGAAGAATATGGAGAACTCCCCAAACCTGTGTGCCTCTTTCTTTTCCTCTAGCTCGATACACTAGAATGGTGTTCACTTTTATATATTGTGCAAAAATATATAAAAATGAAATGAAAGTTCCTGCTTTTGACAATCCAGTCACAAAATGGTTGGCTAAACTTGTTCATATAAAAAAGCTAATTCTCTGGTGTGAGTTTATATCCCTCTGTTTTGCAAACATTATTTGTGAAAACATCTGTATTTCAGGTAGATTGTTCTAGGGACATGATTGGGAGGGGGTGGACATTTCAAGTGGTGGAAAGTTCCCAGTGGATGGAGAAACCAGCTCTCCACCAAAAGTAGTTGTCTTGCTTTTGTAAAATCAGCAAAAAAACGCCCAGCCCTTCCAATAAGAGCATCAGACAGGGTCAGCAGAGGCTCTCTGAGTTCTATGGACTGTGTCCTTTTGCCTCCTCTGCTAGAAGAATCATCCCAGGAAGATCAATGGCCCACTGCCTTGGCCATTCATAACAGCAGGAGGAGGAACCCTCAAGGGCTAATCTTATTGCTTTGATTATTTTGTCCTTCTCTTCTTTCCCTTGGGAGCTGGTAGATGCTTTGGTGGTGAGAGCCATAAAGTCTAAGAGTGAAACTAATGTAGATTGATTATGAAGATCTTATCCATAATTGCATTACTCTCCACACACTAGTGGCTCCTAAACCAAAACCAGCAAAAAAAAAATATGTTTGGTTTGTCTACTCAGAATTTTTTAAAAGTTTATTTAGTTCTCAACACTATAAGATTAGAAGTTGTTTTTTTGTTTGTTTGTTTTTTTCATAAAAATCCAGGTTTCTATCACAAAGTCAGAAGTGCTGGCAATACTGTCCCTCCTTCACACCCGGAAACTGGGTCGGGAAGCACTTGTCCCTGTGTGATGAGGCATGTGAGCTCCAGTTTACTGCAGTTCCCACTGCTCCCTACTGCCTCACACTGACCTACTTTCATCAGTTACATTACCATCTGACCCTTGTGCTCAAATTTGTGATTGTGGGGCAAAGGGGAGGTAAACAAACTCCACACGGTTCTCTTTGTTCCATCTCCCAAACCATGTGGACTATGCAAAACTCTGGCAGGTGTGTCCACCCCAACTGGTAGTCTCAGCCCCGCTCACTGACCTGTCCGTATGCATGCCACGCTGACCAGCCACCACTCTGGGAGCCGCGGGAGCACCAGCATCATCCTGTCCCCAGGCTGAAGGCCACACATGTCCTGGAGCACATTAGCCACCTTCCTGGACTGCTCCCCCAGCTCCTCAAAGTTCCACTTGACCTCTGTTCCCTTGCCATTGACCCACCAGAATGCGGGGATCCGGGGCCGGTGCCCAGCCTAGATAGCAGTGTAGGCAGAAAAGAAATAGAAAACATTTGTTGAGGATTTTTGTTTGCTTGTTGTTTTTTTTTAATTTAATTTTATTTTTCTGTAGTTATTACAGTCACGGGGTTCCAACTCAAAACAACAAAAAGATGCATTGAGAAGGCTTACTCCCATCCTTGCACCCATCTATCCTGTTCTCCACTTCACCTGCCTCAATGTATAACCAATATTATCAGTTTCTTGCATATCCATTCAGTGTTTCTTTAGGCAAACAGTAAGTATATTCTGTTTTCTGTACCATCTTTTTAATGCAAAAGGTAGCCTATGATTCATACTGTTCTGTATCCTCTCTTCTTGAAATATAATTCTCATGCCATAAAATTCACTATTCTTAAGTGCACAATTTAATGGGGTTTTTTTTGAGATATTTAACACTTTATTATAAAGTAGCCTTTGTGTTAGATAGTTTTGCCATCTAACTAACCTAAGTGTTCTGAGCATGCTGAAGGTAGGAGAGGCTATGCTATGATGCTCAGTAGGTTAGGTGTATTAAATGCATTTTCCAATTACGATATTTTCAACTTACAATGGGTTTTTTTTTGCTTTATTTTTTTAATTTTTTATTATGTTCTGTTAGCCAACATATAGTACATCATTAGTTTTTGATGTAGTGTTCAATGATACAAGATCTAACAATTACAAATATCTATGCCCCCAACATGGGAGCAGCCAATTATATAAACCAATTAATAACCAAAATAAAGAAACATTGATAATAATACATTAATAGTAGGAGACCTCAACACTCCACTCTCAGCAATGGACAGATCATCTAAGCAAAAGATCAACAAAGAAAAGAGCTTTGAATGACACATTGGACCAGATGGACTTTGTAGATATATAGAGAACATTCCATCCTAAAAGAAGAGAATACTCATTCTTCTTGAGTGCACATGGAACTTTCTCCAGAATAGACCACATACTGAATTACAAATCAGGTCTCAGCAGATATCAAAAGATTGAGATTATTCCCTCCATGTTATCAGACCACAATGCTTTGAAACTGGAACTCAATCACAAGAAAAATTTGGAAGGAATTCAAACACTTGGAAGTTAAAGAGCATCCTGCTAAAGAATGACTGGGTCAACCAGGAAATTAAAGAACTTAAACAATTCATGGAAACTAATGAGAATGAAAACACATCGGTCCAAAATCTATGGGATACTGCAAAGGCTGTCCTAGGGGGGAAATACATAGCCATCCAAGCCTCTCTCAAAAACGTAGAAAAATCCCAAATGCACAAGCTAACCTTACACCTAAAATAGCTGGAGAAAGAACAGCAAATAAAGCCTAAACTGAGAAATAATAAAGATTAGAGCAGATATCAATGAAATAAAAACCAGAAAAACAGAACAAATCAACAAAACTAGAAGTTGGTTCTTTGAAAGAATCAATAAGATCGATAAATCTCTAGCCAGACTTATTCAAAAGAAAAGGGAAAGGACCCAAATCAATAAAATCATGAATGAAAGGGGAGAGATCACAACTAACACTAAGGAAATAGAAACAGTTATTAGAAATTATTACCAGCAACTATATGCGAACAAATTAAGCAACCTGGAAGAAATGGATGCCTTCCTGGAAACTTATAAACTACCAAGACTGAAACAGGAAGAAATAGACAATCTGAATAGACCAATAACCAGTAACGAAATTGAAGCAGTAATCAAAAACCTCCCAAAAAACAAGAGTCCAGGGCCTGATGGATTCCCTGGGGAATTCTACCAAACATTTAAAGAAGAAGTAATACCTATTCTACTGAAGCTATTTCAAAAAATAGAAATGAAGGAAAACTTCCAAACTTGTTCTATGAAGCCAGCATTACCATGATCCCAAAACCAGGCAAAGACCCCATCAAAAAGGAAAATTACAGACCAATATCCCTGATGAACATGGATGCCAAAATACTCAACAAGATCCTAGCCAATAGGATCCAACAGTCCATTAAAAGGATTATCCATCACGACCAGGTGGGATTTATTCATGGGATGCAAGGATGGCTCAATATTCACAAATCAATCAATGTGATAGATCACATTAATAAAAGACAAGACAAGAACCATATGGTCCTCTCAATCGATGCAGAAAAAGCATTTGACAAAATACAGCATCCTTTCTTGATTAAAACTCTTCAGAGTGTAGGGATAGAAGGAACACACCTCAATATCATAAAAGCCATCTATGAAAAGCCCACAGTGAATATCATTCTCAATGGGGAACCCTTAAGGTCAATTCAATGGTTTTTAGTATATTCACAAAGTGGTATAATCATTGCCACAACCTAATTCCAGAACATTTTCATTATCCTAAAAAGAAATACCATACAGATTAGCAGGCACTCCCTATTCCCCCCTCTCCCTAGCCCTTGGCAACCACTAATCTACTTTTTGTCTCTATGGATTTACCTATTCTGGATATCTCATATGAATGGAATCATATAATATGTGCCAGCACCACTAGCTGGAAAGATGAGGTTTTTTTTAAAGATTTTATTTATTTGTTTATTTATTTATTAGAGAGTGAGCGAGAGAGAAACAGCATGAGAGGGAAGAGGGTCAGAGGGAGAAGCAGGCTCCCCGCTGAGCCGGGAGCCCGACGTGGGACTCGATCCCAGGACTCCGGGATCATGACCTGAGCCAAAGGCAGTTGCTTAACCAACTGAGCCACCCAGGTGCCCTGGAAAGATGATTCTTTCCCCCTTGAATTTACTGACACCTTTGTTGAAAACCAACTGACCATAGATTTATGGGTTTATTTCTGGACTCTCAATTCTATCCCATTCATCCATATCTGTGTTTTTACCAGTGTCACAGTGCCTTTTTTTTCTCATACAGTCTTTATTACTGTCACTTAGTACTAGGTTTTGAAATAGGGAAGTGTGAGTCCTGCTGTGTTTCTTTATCAAGACTGCTGTGGTTATTATGGGTCCTTTGCCTTTCCATGTGAAACTTTGGACAAGATTATCTATTTCTGCAAAGAAGTCTACTGGGATTTTAATAAAGATTACTTTGAGTATCTAGATCAATTTGGGATATGTAATCATTTTTTTTTGCAACTTTATAATTTCTGCTTCAATGGCAATCAAGTCTAAAAAATGTACATTTCAACTTTGTCAAGGGTAGACTTCAGTAAGCTGCTAAATGCATACATAATGGAGAAGCTAATATTTTCTGGTGGTTCCTGTTTCCTGAGAGTCGAACTTCCTCAGATGTGTTTTAGACTTTTCCCAAAATTGTCACTAAGGGATACGTTACTTTTGCATAACAAGGTAATATCTCAGGAGCATTCTGAGATTCACCCAAATCTTTAATGAGTGCTTCTTTAATAAATAGTCCCTGAGCTATTCCAGCCTTTGGTTAGTTTCCAGAGTTCTAAGAAGTAGATTCTGGCAATTTTCCCAAGGTTTTTTATTGTTGTTGTTTTTAGAGAAGATGAAATTTTAGAAAGTCCTTATTCCACCATTTTTGCTGATATAACCCTATTTGTATTTATCTTTAGTGGAAGTCCTCCAAGGATGATCCCAGTGTGGAAAAAGAGCTCAGATTTTGTAGACAGGAATGGGGCACCCCAGCTCCATCTCTTACATACGTTTCTCATTTTATTCTCACAACAACTCCAGGTGGCAGATAGTATGACTTCCATTTTATAGATGAGAAAACTGAGATCCAAAGAGCTTAGGGCATTTGCACAAGGAACCATGTCTATCTGACTACAAAGCCACTTTCACACTTTACTATATCCACCAACAGTATACTTCTACTGAATCTACTAACAATATTATTTTCCTCATTGTTTTTCTTTACACAAGCTCTTCTTAAAATTAACATAAGTAAATTGTGTTGAGATAAAGTTTATAGTCTCCTACTATAAAATAAAAGGTTAGCATCTTTAACATAAATAAAAAGTGACTATAATATACACAGAGAGACACAAGCAGACACCTAAAGAAGAGAAAAAAAAAGAAGGAAGTATATGCTCAGAGACACACAAAGAAATCAAGATAATTTTAATTCAATTCTACATATCTGCTGTGATCTGTAAAAAGCTTTGAGCCTCAGCCATGCTCTCTCCTTATTTAAAAGGGAAGTCCAGGGACACCTGGGTGGCTCAGTCGGTTAGGTGTCCGACTCTTGATTTTGGCTCAGGTCATGATCTCAGGGTCGTGAGATCGAGCCCCATGTGGGCTCCGCATGGGGTGTGGAGCCTACTTAAGATTCTCTCTCTCGGGCGCCTGGGTGGCTCAGTTGGTTGGGCGACTGCCTTCGGCTCAGGTCATGATCCTGGAGCCCCGGGATCGAGTCCCACGTCAGGCTCCCTGCTCAGTGGGCTGTCTGCTTCTCCCTCTGCCCCTCCCCCCTCTCATGCTCTCTATCTCATTCTCTCTCTCAAATAAATAAATAAAATCCTTAAAAAAAAAAAGATTCTCTCTCTCCCCCTCTCTCTCTGCCCCTCACCTCTGTGCTCTCTCTCTCAGAAAAAAAGGTAAGTACACAACAGTGGGAGAAATATTAATGAAGAGTAGAATCAAAACAGAATTTTCTCTTTTGCTTGATCAGAACGATGGGAAGGGAATCAAAGGGGGCATAACTGTCTCAACTATGTGATTTGCGTTCAGGAATATGAGACACATCAGGGATGGGGCTAAGTGTCTAAGGCTCACGAAACCTGGTCATAATCTCCCTAAGGCTTAAATGCTAACCATTTAAGTTTTAGGACTTGCAAAATTCCCAGGTGAAAATGTCCACCTGTGTTGTAGCCTTTAGTCACGCTGCAGTAATTGAGGGCAGCCTCTAAGGCCCAAGAGGGACACTAGGACACAGTGGGCTTCACCTTTTCCAGCTGACTCCACATGTCCAGCACATCATGGGCAAAGTTGAAGTACTCAGGCACTGGCTGCCTCCCCAGGCTGATGGCTTCCCAGGTGGCCACAATTTTCTGAGGGTCAGGGAGAGGTGGTTGCTGCCTGTGAGGCCCACAGAATCCCCGGGCATTTCTCAGTGCCTTGAGGACCCAACTTCTTAGCCATGGCATCATGTTATTGTGTGCAGCCTGTCACCAAAGAGAAGAGAGAGAACACAATCCTGAATTCTGGGCTCTGTGGAGAGATTGAGCTGGAGGAGAAACCTGTAGTCAGCCCCAATGGTGACTACAGTACACACTGACTTGTAAACATCGTCTTGGGCCTTAGTCTTAAATCCACCGTGTGATTTTGATCATTTCTTCTCTCTGAGCCTCAGAGCCATCCCTTCCACTTCTCACTGCCTATGGATCTCTGTGGGCCTGAGGTCAATAACTCAGAGCCCTCTTCTCAAGGCTTCCCAAGCCCACTTTCCCAAGGTAAATCCTGAACTGGCCTGACAAAGCCAAAGAAAGCTCTAGGGCAACACTATCCAATGGAAATGTAATGTGAGCCACACCTGTAATGTACAATTTTCTAGTAGCTTCATTAAAAAAAAACTTTTAAAAGAAACAGGTGAAATGAATTAAAATATTTTACTTAGCCAGTATGAAAGATGAAATAAAATGGGGTCATATATGTCAAGGGGTTTTAAAATGAGCCATGAAGGAGGTGGGCCTCCTCACCAGTAGAACCATGAACTTTTGAACTGTGCCAAACCACAGATACTCCAAGGACTCAACCAGAATACCTGCAACTTGCTACAGTAGGAGACTGTTTAGTGATAGCCTTAGCAATCAATTATATTCAGTCAAGACTAGTTTTCTGCCACCAACATCAATCAAAATTCTTTGTAAGCAACATATACAAACATTCCTTTTTGTCTTTAAAAACCCATGCTTTTGGGGGCAACTGTGAGGCTCCATCAGTTAAGCGTCCGACTCTTGATTCCAGCTCAGGTCATGATCTTGGGGTCATGATCTCAGGGTCATGAGATCAAGCCCTGCCTTTGTGGCCCACCCCCCCCTACCCCACAGTGGCTCCATGCTGGGTGTAAAGCCTGCTTAAGATTCTCTTTCTCCATCAAAAACTAATGATGTATGGTGATTAACGTAACAATAAATTATTTTAAAAAAAAAAGATTCTCTTTCTCCTTCTCCTGACCACTTCCCCTCTCTCTTAAAAACAAAACCAAAAACAAACCTTGCCTTTTGTTCCCTGGAGTAGGGGGTGGGGGTGGGTGGCACTATTTGGGTTGCTGCCCAAATCTGTGTTCTCTGAATGGCAATTTTGAGACCCCAAATAAAAGTTTTCTTTTTATTTTAGCTTTACCTCTTTTCTTGGTCAGCACCGGCTATATCCTATAATTTCAACATGTAATCAATGTAAAAAGAAATTACTAAAGAGAGATTTTACTTTTTTTTTTTTTGTACTAAGTCTTACAATCCAACATTTATTTCACACTTACGCGCCCACCTCAGTTTGGAGTAGCCACATACTAAGGGCTCAACAGCCATAGGCGGCTAGTGGCTACCGTATTGGTCAGGGCAGTCTCAGTGTCCTGCTATTCAAAGTCTGGTCTATGGGACGGCAGCATCAGCATCACCTGGGAGCTTGTGACACCTGCAGAACCCCAGACCCCACCCTAGACACGTGGAATTAGACTCTGCACTTCAACAGGAGCCCGAGGGAGTTGTGTGCGCTTTGTTTAAAGAGCACTGAGAAGCAGATGCAGGTTCTTTCCACCAAATTCCTCTTGGTCATAATAATAACAGGATATGGTACTGTAACTGCCAGAGATTAAAAGTTTGAGCTTCCCCCAGATTTGTTTATTAAATCCTAACCCCCAGTGTGATCGCAGCAGGAGGTGGGGGCCTTTGGGAGGTGATTAGGTCCTGAGACCTCAGAGAGCTGGCTCGCTCCTTTTGCATGGCGAGGACAGAGCAAAAAATGGCGTCTATGAACCAGAGGCGGGCTCTCAGCAGACACGAATCTGCCTGCCGCAATTTGATCTTGGAATTCCCGGTCCCTAGACCTGTGAGAAATAAATGTTGTTTAAACCGCAGCTGCCCAAACAGACTAAGACAGTAAAAAACAATAATAATGTGTTGCAATAACGAGAAAAACAAAAATAATCGCCATCTACAGAAGGCTTAACGTGTACCAAGCTTTGTAGATGTTATTTCCTTAAATCCTTACAACAATTCTATGATTTAAATGCTATTTTCTCTGTTTTACAGATAAAGAAAGTCAGGTTTTAAGAGGACAAGGCGACTTGCAGGTCTCGCTTCCCAGAAATGCCTAGGCCCCGGCCTCTGTTGTAGCTACCAGCTCTGGGGCCTCTGACTCCCCTTCTCTGACCCTCCACCACTCCCCCCCTCCCCTCAACTCTGCCCCAAGCCTTTTCCTCTGCCTCCCTCCCCTCGATTCCTCTGCCCCTTGACAGCTGATAATTAGAATCCCCTGGCCTCCCTGCTAACCCAAGGCCATTTCAGGCACGCCCCTTCTTGGTTGAAGCAGCAAAGGCCTCAGAGGCAGCTGATACCTGTCCTTGAAAAGATTTCTCTCTACATTACCTTGCTTTTGAACCCAGAAAATGCAAAAGGGCTTCAATGTTCTGTTTCAGCTGAATGCAGGCCTTAGATATTCAAGTTCCTCCAGGACACTGGAAAAGGCAATTTGCTGACTTGGCCTCCCACCTGGAACTTTGGCCCCAAATGCAGCCAAGAGAGAGCAGAGCCCGAAGCCAGCAGAGGACACGGTGGCTTCAACTGGCCAGCACGCTTGGAGCCAGCGAGGGCGGCCCTGCCAAGCTACTGTCACAGCTCTCACAGTGGCTCTGGTGCACGTCTTACCTGAAAATTCAGGTCACCACCTCATCTGAAGAGAGAACAGGAATTTCATTATGTTTTATCGGAAAGGATACAATAGTAACAATAACATAAGCTAACCATGTTCCTTCTCTCCTCCAAATCCTCCAATGCAGAGAGACAGAAAGTAGATGAGTAGTTGCCTGGGGCTGGATATGTGAACAGGGAATGACTGCAAATGGACACAAAGGCTCTCTTTGAGGTGATAGAAATGTTTTAAATTTGGACTGTGGTCATGGCTGCACAAATCTGTAAATGTATTACTACTACTACTAATAATAATAACGATGATGATGATGGCATATCTGAATGAATTTATGGTATGTAAAATTAAACCTAATTTTTTTTTTTTTTTTTGGTAAGCCTCCTATGGCCCACTATCTGGCTCACAGTCCAAGCCAATGTTCCAAGAGCAGTCTGCAAGGCCCCACATGACTTCCTGGCTCTCCACTCCTTCCCACCTCCTAGCTCTGCTCCAGCCACACTGTACTGGTCTGCCTGCCCTTTGTTCTCCCTGCTGCTGGTAAAGTGAATCTCTGAGAACAGCAAAAAAGATCCTGTCTCACAGTGTTTGCCTATATCTGCGGTTAAATAGTCCCATGGTGGCCCAGCCAATTTCAAACAACCAAAGTTTTAACAACTGGCTTGCAAAATTCCTCATTACTGATGGTCTCTGGTACGCCCCTGTGAGCTGGCTCCAGCTGGTGGTGCTGCTTCAAGCCTTTATCCTTGTTGGCTTCTCTGCCAAGATGTTCCTTCTACATGGTTCACTGCCTCACCACTCACACACAGGCCCTATTCAGTGTGCCTTGGGCCACCACCCCAACCCCAACTAGAACCTTCTCCCATCTGACACTTCCCACCCTCCCTTCTCTCCTTGATTTTCCTCCTTAGTGTTTATCACTTTCTAACATTCAATGTATTTTATAAAAATAAAAAAAAATTATTGTTTCCAGTTTTATTGTGGTATGATTGACAGATAAAATTCCATATATTTAAGGTATACGACATGTACATCATGCAGTTAAGCTAATTAATACAACCATCATCTCTTATACTTGTTGTTCAATATTTTCTATTAACTCACTGTGCCATCTGTCCCCTGCCACACACGTAGGCTAGAATATAAACTCCACAAGGATGGAGATCTTAGATTCTCAGTACAGCTATATCCTCAGGACAGTGCCCTGTCACATAGTGAGAGTTCAGTAAATATTTACTGAGCCAGTGAAGAGTAAATGAGAACTAAAAGTTAGTGAACAGTTTTTATGCCCCAGACATTGCTATGTGTAGGAGGTAAAAACTGACCTCCAGCATTCTAGGTACAAAGTTTGTTTGTTTCTTTTTTCCCCCAGAATCACATCCAGGCTGGTGTAAGCTCTCAGTCTCCAGGATCTGTGGGAACTCCAGGCTCACTTACTCTTCAGAGCACCTTCCTTACCTATCCTTAGAAGTGGCTCAGAGTCCTTCCGATGGAAGAGAGGCTATGGGTACCTCATGGAGAGGATGCTTACGTATCAACCGCCTCGCTCTGCAGTAGTTAGCATCACACTGGGTGTTGGTCCTCCACTGTATTTTGTTCCCCTGTGGCTCTGGCTCATTTCCTGGCCAGGCCAGGGTGGCCCATTTCCATGGAGGCAGCAGCTCCTCTCCCTCCCCATCAAGCGTGGCCACAGAGAATCATCTCTTTGGCCTTCAAATTCCATTTCCCCTCAGTGCCCAGACCTCTCTACTGGGTCCCAGGCAACCATTCTCATCTGCAAATCTGCAGCCAGATCTAAAGATACAATCTCTACTCTCAGGGAGGTGGATGGACAGATGACCTGCTCTTTAGGCAGCCTGGTCTCAACATCACTGCTGCCCATCAGTATTTGGTAAGAATCAGGCAGCACAGAACTGGGGGCTGCAGATTGACAAAAATGATGATGATGCTAACAATAACATAACTGCCTTCCGTTTAGTCATTCAATAAAGATTTTGGAGCATCTGTTACCTGCTAGGCAAAGTAAATTATAAGGAATTTAGAAGGTGATTAGTCCTGTGAAGAAAAATAAAGCCGAGAAAGAGACAGAAAGTACCCGAGAGTGGGTTGAGGAAGTCAATGGTTTTAAGCAAAGTGATCGGAAAGACCCAGCCTGAGAAAATGATATTTGAGCAAAGACTTGCAGAAGATTGAGAGAGTAAACCTGAATACACCTGGGTGAACAGCTGTCAGCAGAGGAAACCACAAGTGCCCCTGAGGTGGGTGTGACTGTCATACTGGAAGA